TAAAACCCTGAAGATACATCCTCATTATTGATTTAGAATTGAACGACCTTATTATCCAGAAAGTTGTAGGTTAAAACAACGAATTCTAAGCAACTGTGGTACATTTGTGTGGTTCAAATAACAAAAGAAAAAAGCAATATTTTCCTGAGATAAGCCATTAGTTCTTAATAATTATAAATAGACATAAATTCTTCAAATGAAATACAAAATACATATATAAAATAAACATGGCTTCATAATTGTAAGGAATTATTTTCTATAGTTTGGTAGTTTTTGTGAAAAAACAATAAAAAGCATGGTATTGTCAATGTTCTTCAGTTTTTCATACACACATAAATACATACACACACATATATACTTTTCTAGACTAACTTTAAGTAAAAGACTTTTCTAGGTATACATTTTGAAATTATTCACATACACATACATTACAGAAAACCCAGTAAGAAATAGAAAATGTTTCATACACCACCAGTTTGTTTTCTGCTAGAAAACACAAAATGCCCCTCTCGTGAATCTATGGAGATGAAGGCTTCTGTCCTTTCACCCAGTACCTCACGTTCCATAAAACTGAAAGAAAAATCTGCTTTAGCTTCTTGTTTCCCCAAATCAGGATGAATGGGTGGGTTGAAGGATAGCTGAATAGGATAGCTTGGTAGAACATGAAGAAAGGTTTCCTTTCCAGCCCAAAATTCCAAACTGATAGGATCACGGACAGAAAGTAAATGGCACATAACAGGAGAAAGGAGGTCACAGTTTGCAAAGCTTTTATGTGGACCTTGGTGCTGGGATCTTGAGATCGTTTGCCATAGACCTGCATCTTCTTCAGATGTTTACACAGAGAACAGATTAACAGCAGAAAAGACATCAGGGTCAGAGTGAGGGGTATAAGGTTTGCTAGCATGCCTACAGTCACATTTGAAAGGTACATTGCACTCCTCAATTTCATCCTCCAAGTAATGTTTCCTTCATATTCTTTTCTCCACACAATCTGATTCATGTTCATCACAAAAAGATGACAATCCAAAAATAGCAAAGGCCCCCACAGTGTCACCAGAATGACACTCTTAACTCTCCTCTTTAAGTGAAGAAAAATCAGGTTGGAGAAAGTGGCAATTCTGAGCAAATAAAACATGCTAAGGCTAGTAGAAAGCCAGTTGCTGAAATGGTTGGTCACTACCCAGACATTATAAGTAGTGATTCTTACTTCTTCACTATAAAAAGCTAGATTAAACTCAGTTGCATACCAATTTAATAATAATACCCAGAGAAAACCAACTCTGAAGACAGCCAGAGCAGTGAGAATTTGGTCAGCAAGGGAGATCTTTTGTCTCTTGACCCACTCAATGCAATTTACCAATGCTATGAAGCCATTAGCAAAATTTCCAATAAAAAATATAACCATTATTAGAATGGAAAAAGTGATAGACAGAAAAGTTATCATGTCTGAACAGACAGAAAGAAATTTTTAAAATGCTGGTGTAACATCACAGGTTGTGATTGCTTGAATATCCTGACCTTAAATTCTATATGCACCTGATTTGTGTATCTGCTGTGACATTCATTTTACTTTTAATTGTTGTGACCAGTGTCAAGCCAGAAATCACCATAGCATGCTAATGGATGAGTTCAATGCTCTCTTTATGGAAAACATTCTTCTTTTCAAAACAACTTAAATTAACTCATTCACTCACTGTCTGTTCTTGTTATAGGCTGGAATTATTCACACTGAAGTTGACATGAAACCTGAATTCTCATTTGCCAGTATGCAAACAAGGACATATTAACTTTCAGTGTTTGCAGTTTTTCCTTGTGTAACCTCTCCATCATTTGTCTTTAGTGACTTTGGTGGTTAGGGAAGTTTTATAACCCAATACAGAGATCATATAGTAAATGTCAGCTTTTTCTTCATTCAAAAGCTGGAAGAAATTACCTTTCTAACTTTACAGATGAAAGCTGATAATGCATAATCAAGACCATGATCATGATTTGTCATCCCCCTCTTATAAAAGACTTTCTTTCTAAACTATTCACATACTTGTATGAAATCTAATATTCCTCAGTACTGTTTATGGAAGACATAGATGAAATTTACTCTACATATGCTTGTCATTCAAATTTTATTGTGTGCATTCATTTTCTAACAACAATTCTGTTTGCTTTTATAAACATAGATGAATTCTTATTAGAATAACCCAAAGACCATCCTCATTATTGATTTAGAATTGAATGACATTATTATCCAAAAAGTTATAGGTTAAAACAACAAATTCTAAGCACATTTTTTTTTTTTTTTTTTTTTTTTTTTTTTTTTTTTTGAGACGGAGTGTCGCTCTGTCGCCCAGGCTGGAGTGCAGTGGCCAATGTCTAAATTCTTAAAGGGAGCTTGGTCATAACTAAGATCATCACCTATACAGTCTTTTTTAAATGCCAGATTTAAATACACAGAATCCAACCTTCTTTTATCAAAAGCATCTAAGATTTACTTGAGAACCACAGGCAGGCCAGTACTCCATAAGATCTGGTTGCTGCTAATACTTTTGTGTGACTTCATTATTCACAAACCTCTCCATTATTTGTCTTTTTTTTTTTTTTTTTTTTTTTTTTTTTTTTGAGACTGAGTTACGCTCTGTTACCCAGGCTGGAGTGCAGTGGCGGATCTCAGCTCACTGCAAGCTCCGCCTCCCGGGTTTACACCATTCTCCTGCCTCAGCCTCCCCAGTAGCTGGGACTACAGGCGCCTGCCACCTCGCCTGGCTAGTTTTTTGTATTTTTTTTTTTAGTAGAGACGGGGTTTCAACGTGTTAGCCAGGATGGTCTCGATCTCCTGACCTCGTGATCTGCCCGTCTCGGCCTCCCAAAGTGCTGGGATTACAGGCATGAGCCACCGCGCCCGGCCCCATTATTTGTCTTACTGGTTGTTAGGGAAGTTTTATAACCCAATACAGAGATCATATAGTAAATGTCTAAATTCTTAAAGGGAGCTTGGTCATAACTAAGATCATCACCTATACAGTCTTTTTTAAACGCTCAGATTTAAATACACAGAATTTAACCTTCTTTTTATCAAAAGTATCTAAGATTTACTTGAGAACCACAGGCAGGCCAGTACTCCACAGATCTGGTTGTTGGAGCATTACTTTTGTGTGATTTCATTATTCACAAGCTCATAAATACACACACAAACAAACACATGTGCCCTCCACCTATGAACGGAATGAATTATTTTCTTGTAATTTCCAAACTATAAAATGAGTTTCCAGGAGGTTGTCCAGCTGAATTAGTCCTATTTTCCCACCAGGTTTTCAGCCCATGAACAATATTTACTTATCAAACATCGCCTCTAATTATTAGATCTTTGGTAAAGTTTATTTTCAAGTCTGAAGTTTAAGTGATACTTATTATTTAATTAAAATATTCAGCAATTTTTAAGTATTCGTGGGTACCAGGCCCTTTGATATATAATCTTGCAGTAACCTCCCATCACAGGACGACTGACTACTTTTCCCTGAACTTGTAGTTCAACAATTTAGCTTGCTTTGATTAACAGAAAAATTACTATACTTTACAGAGATTTGAGATGGCGTCCATACTGGGATTCTTCCTCTTCTATTTAGGATGAGAGTATCTCCTAGCTACCATTAATTGTTTCCAGAAGGAGAATGAGAAACTAATGAAGGCAGATTGTCCCCACCTGATCCAGACTAAATTGGCCAAACTCTAACGACCTCCAAGATGCAGAATTTGGCCCACCACAAATTCCCAGAGACATCCACCAAACCCGGCTTAGAAAATGAAATCTAAAGATATAATATATGAAATATGATGTCGTTTTGGAGGAAGCCTTTCTGCAGAAAAACATAACTGATAAAAGAACTCTTTCTCTACCAAGAGTGTAGAAAATATGCACAACCTTGTTGTGTCAGCAATTCAGGATCCAAAAGAAAAAAAATAGATGTAAATGGCAAAAGGTTTATTCCTATGAGGTGGATAATTAAGGCTAGAAGAAACCTTTGGAAAAATCCGGAGGTGACAGATAACATCATCCTCAAATTTCCCTCACAGTTGCAACTAAATAAGAAAGTTCTTATCTAACTCTCTTAGAGTTGTATAAAAATGTATATAGTTTATTTTCTGCAGTATATAATGAGTAATATTAAATTTTTATGAGATATTTCTCCTAATTTAAAATTTTTATGCTAAAATTATAACGCACACTTAGAAATGAGCCAAAACAAAAATGGGAAATACCGCAATGTATCATAAGCACTCAAGGAACCATGATGCTGGCAAGACAAGGAGCACCGAAACAGCTTTCCAGGTCCACCTCCATGCCACTTTCCCAAGCCTGTAACCCCTTGTTCACATCTCTGGAGATACAATACCTAATTTATGATGATCATTTCCTTGATTTTCCTTATACTTTACCAATTAGGTATGCAACCCTAAACTGCATAGCTTGGTCTGGCCTGCTTTGAACTGTGTGTAGGTGCAATCCTTCATGTTCTTCTTGGTTGTGGTTTCTTGGTCTCAACATTGTGTTTCTGAAATTTAGTCACAGAGTCGCATGTACATATGATTTTTTTCACTTTCTGCGTTGTTCTGTTCTTGGATTTACTGTACGATTGATCAATCCTTAATATATATTTGGCCAGCTTTTTTATGAACAGTTATGAATAATTCTACTAGAGCATTCTCTCATATATCATTTGATACAATTCCTTTGTATATATAATTTTGATAGAATTACAGGGTCATTGTTCAAAATCTCATAGATATAGAACAGTTCAAAAAATACTCTTAAGTAAATTTAATTCTGTCACCTCTGCCTCCAGTCTGTTTTTTTGCCATTTGCATATATTATCAATTTTGTAATTACCGCACAAGACATTATTTTTTACAGTAAACATTCACAGTAATTATGCACATATTTACCAAATCAGTCTCCAATCTTGGATTTTATTTCTTTTCAGTTTTTACAGTATAATGGTTTCTAAGAGGGAATCTTCTAGTCAAACTGTGAAGACAGGAAACCAGATAATTCTGCTTCCTATAGCTATGATGTGAGATCAAGATTTACAACTACTGCCTGCCTCAGTATAATTACCTATAAAAAGCAGATGATAGGCTGGGCATGGTGGCCCAGGCCTGTAATTCCAGCATTTTGGGAGGCCAAGGCAGGTAGATCACCGGAGGTCAGGAGTTTGAAACTGCATGGCCAACACGGTAAACCCTGTCCCCACTAAAAATACAAAGGGGACTAGCCAGGTGTGAACGTGCACACCTATAATCCTAGCTACTCAGTTGACTGTGGCAGGAGAATCCTTTGAACCCAGGAGATGGAGGTTGTAATTGGTTAAGATCGTGCCACTGCACTCCAGCAGGGAGACAGAACAACACCCTGTCTCAAAAAAAAAAAAAACAACAAAGAAAGGAGATGAAAATAAAATTGTCTTTGGTTAATTTTGTTAGGAGTTAATCTATTCTTTATATAACTACTTTCAATTTTACCTGTTTGCTATAGGCAGGAACCAAAGATCGCACTATTGATTTGATCCCCATTGTACTTGATATTTAAGATACCAGCGAGAACTTACACTTTTTTTTCTTCTTCTGAGACAGAGTCTTACCTGTTTGCTATAGGCAGGAACCAAAGATTGTTAATTATTGATTTGATCCCATTTTACTTGATATTTAAGATACCAGCAGAACTTCTTACACTTTTTTCTTCTCTTTCTTCTGAGAGACAGAGTCTCCTCTGTTACCCAAGTTGGAGTACAGTGGCAGGATCCTAACCCACTACAGCCTTGAATGCCTGGACTCAAGCAATCCTCCTGCCTTAACTTCCAAAGTGTTTGGAACTATAGGCATGCACAACCATGCCAGCTAATTTTTTAATTTTTTGTATAGATGGAGTCTCCATATGCTGCACAGGGAACTACTGCTCTCAAGAGATCCTCCCACCTTGGTCTCCCAAAGTACTAGGACTACAGGCATGAGTCCTCACATCCAGCCTGCAGTGGGAGTGCTTGAAGGTCAGATGCTACTTAGAGCTTCGGCTCATGTCCATCCCGAGGTGGATCTAATCAGTTTGCAGTATTACTTCTTCCTGAATGTGTAATTGAAACGGACCTGACTGGCAGCTGGCAGAACTGTTACATTCTTCCTAAGCTGTAAGGTAAAAGTCATTATCATAGCAGGACCAAGGGGAAGCCTCTGAAATTCTCCCCTCTTACTGGCAAATGCAATGTATAAAATATAATAACTGCATTCCTTAAGGAATGGAACTGTCACCGCCGTGACACTTGCAAGTTACAGGGGACAGTAGTCTCTTTAGATCTCTATTCACTTAACCTATCTGGCCTCTACCAAAACCAGATGAATTATAGAGTGAATGCAGACTACCATAAACTTAAATCAACATTCACAAATTCTTTCCAGGATTTGCTATCTTCACTGAGTAGAGCAGAGCTTCTGGGACTTTTAATGTGGCTCATGATTTGGTCAATATTTCTTAATCTACACCCAGTAAGAGCGAAAATCAAAACAATTTGCTTTGTATTGTAAGAATAATAGCACTGCTTCACTGTTTTATGTCAGGACTATGTCACTTCTGTTCTCAGTTTAATTTACATTTTTTAAAACATCGTGCTAATTTAATATATTAATAATATTACAGACTGGGCCCTGTGGCATGACTGTCATCCCAGCACTTTTGGAGGCCGAAATGGACACATCACTTCAACCCAGGAGTTTAAGATCAGCCTGGGTAACATGGTAAAATCCTACCCCAGCAGAAAATAAAAAATTAGCCAGGCGTGGGATTGTTCCCCTGCAGTCCCAGCTGCTAGCAATGCAGA